CCTGGCGTGCGCATATTTTATGCAAATCACCCATATTTCGGGAAAGTGGCTGGGGTCGTTCGCCCGGTGAGAAGCATGAGGGGACTGTTATTTGGCCGCCTAGCTTGGCAAATAGCCCATCCATTGCCTAAAGGATCTCTGATAGCCTGCCCTTTAAAAAAGGGTGCTTTCGCATTATCGGGGGGGGGGGGCTGGGAGGAGGGGCACAATTTTTTTGTATGAATCCATTCATCTAAAATGCCTAGTAACTTAATAGGAAGTGTTTGAATAGTGTTTTTAGTGAAATAAAATTATGTAATCGATTTTTTATTTTTATTTTTTACAAAAAATGTGTAACGTTTTTACGTTGAGGAATAGTAAAAAAAAACAATTTTAAAAACATTTTCTGACTATTTTATCTTTCATTTTTAGTCGTTTAATCCCCATGTAGCATTTCCCAAAGGCTCTCTGCTAGCTTGCCTGCCTCGGAAAACGGTAGAAAGGCTTCATTGCCCCTTTAAAACCGTTTTAAATTGATTTGATGTATTGCATTCCTTTTTCTTCAGTTTTTGGCGTTTCTTGGCCTGGGGTGTTTTGCTGAGTCAGCCATGAATAAGGCAAGACGAGGCCAGGGGTGCGTGTTGGAATCAAACGCACGAATTTTCCCGTTTTTAGAATTTTTTTGGAAGGCGCAGGCTAGCAGAGATTGTTTAGGAAAGGGCAGGCTAGCAGAGATTCTTTAGGAAAGGGCAGGCTAGCAGAGATTCTTTAGGAAAGGGCAGGCTAGCAGAGATTCTTTAGGAAAGGGCAGGCTAGCAGAGATTCTTTAGGAAAGGGCAGTCCAGCAGAGATTGTTTAGGAGAGGTACAAACTTTTGAAACTCACTAAACACTTTGCATAACCATTTCCAAAGGCGAGAATGTGTTTCTCAAAACGGCCGTAAATTGGTGTCCCTCGCCCAGGCGGCAGGGTGCGAAAATTACCTTGGTGCTCCCCCTTGGGTGGGCATGTGGGTCTCTCTCCCTCTCTCTCTCTCGCTCTCGCTCTATCTCTCCCTCTCTCTCCCTCTCTCTCTCTCTCTGTCTCTGTCTCCACTCTCTCGTCGTCTCTCCCCTCTCACGTCTCGCCCTCTCTCGCCCCTTGTCCACCCCTCCAAATACACGCCAACCACCCGTCCCGGCCGCAACCAACAACCAACACCACCCCCTACTAAACTGCCGCCTGATTGGCATATAGTTTTTACCGGCCGATTTTGGTAATATTTATTGATTTATAATGTAGTATATTACGATATTTCCGCCCTTTAAAAACGCTTTGTTATATTCTTGAGTTTTTCTAGCCGCCATGTAGGTTTCTTGTATTTTCCTTTGTTTCAAACCTATTTTTAGAAGCTTTATCGATTAACTTAATTCTTATTTCTTAGAATTCTGTATTGAATAGTTTTATATTTTCTATATTCTTTAGTGTACTTTAGTTTTTTCTGACTGTTTGTTTTGACGTTTCTGGCTATTGCTTTGTTGTTTTAGACCCAATTTTAGATATTTATCGTTTTCTTTAAAACTATTTTATTTTTGGAAATGTTTATTTAATGGCGTTCAATTAATAGAATTATAATTTAAAAAGAAGTAATCTTTTTGGCATTATTTTAGATTGTTGGGGTGATTTTTAATACGATTTTTGTAGGTTTTCATCTCCTTTAAATGGTAGGAATTTTTTCTCTACCCTGATCGCTTTTTCCAAATTCCGAAAGGCATTATCGCATTTTTTGGGGCAGCCGTCTGGTACTGGAAACTCCCGATTTATCGCTCGACTTCCACTTTTCAAGGCCGTTTCGTGCGAACACGAGTTTTTGAAATTTTTGCCATTTTCCTAAAGTATCTCTGCTAGCATGCCCATTTCCTAAACGTTCTCTGCTAGCCAGCACTTGCCAATGGCCCCGGGCTACATTTCACAACTCGTATTTTCTCACATTCCTTCCCTCCCGGCGACCCGCACACACGTTTCGGAATTTCCGTCGGTGTAGTGCGGAATTTTTAATTTTTTTTGGCCGCTGGCTTTTTGGAGGGTGGCACGGAATTTATAGTGTAGTTATTAGATTCAGGGCAGCTTTTTAGGGCCTGAAAAGTTGGCACGGATTTTTGTACGATTTTTTTTGATTTTGGGAAATTTATTTCTAACGGTTTACCGCGTAAGTTTTAGTGCGTCATTCCTTGTTCTTCTAGGTTTCGAATCCCGCAGAAAATGCGATTTTTCGCCGCAGGAATTTTTCGGTTTTGCAAATTTTTAATATTAAATAGTTGTTATTTATGTAGTTTTGCTTTATTAAAAGTAGAAGTCTTATATGAATTTTACAAGGCAAGAGGCGGTATTTTATTTGTTTCAAAATTTAAAATTAGAATATTTCCTTTTGCCTTTCAAATGCCGGCTTTTCTCTAAATTCCTTAAATCCCTAAAAAACACATTTTTTTCCTAGTGGTATCTAAACAGCTGCAGTTTCGTGTTCATCCCCCCGGCCCACCAATCGATCATTTGGGTTGATGGGGCCCAGATCGGGACGCTGATAAATGGAGAGAGATTTCCGCCAGGGGGTCAGAGAGCAGTGACACTTTGCAGAGACACTTTGGGACCTGTTTTGTCTCTGCCTCTCTCTCGCTCTTGCTCTCTATCTCTCTTTCTCACTCTCTCTCTCTCTCTTTCTCACTCTCTCTCTCTGTCGCTCTCGAGATCGCGCTCTCTCTGAATCTCGCTCTATCTCGTAGGTTCCTAAAAAATCTATGCTAGCCTGCCTACGATCCAAATTACTGTTCGTGTAATTAACTGACGAGGCCAACTAGCAGTGATTATTAGGGATTTTGGGCTTCTAGCTTTCTTGAATTTCATCAAAAATCGCTGCTAGCCTGCCCAGTTTTCGAGCTGGTGAGGGAAAACTAGCAGTGTTTATCGGGCAATCTAGCTTTATATAGAATTTTTAATTTCCTCAAGAATTTCCGCTAATTTGCCTAGATTTTAGGCCTATGAGGGGCAGGCCAGCAGTGTTTATTTGGGAATATTTGGCTTGCAAATCTCATTTTTGCAGGGTCTGGGTATGTTGCCATTTCTCCCCCCGCCTCTATCTCTCGCTGCAGATGTCTCTCTTTTTATCGTTTCTCGCTTTTCAAAAAAAGTAAACTCTGTTAAGAATTAAGGCAAGCTAGCAAAGTGTCTTTGCCTCCTTCTCTCTCTCTCTCTCTCTCTCGCTCTCTCCCTCTCGCTCTCTCGCTCTCTCTCTCTCTCTCTCTCTCGATTTCCAAATCTCGTCGGCTTAAAAAACGACCCTCCAGCACATCGTGGCCAAGTGAAAAAAACGGAAACGTCGTGCCGGTTGGGGGTAGATTTGTGATGTGAGGGTAGAGAGGACAGGTGCCTCTCCGCCTCCTCTCTCTCTTTTCTCGATCTCCCCTTAACCCCCAGGGGAGCTGCAGCTTTTCCTTAGTTTTCCTTTTTTGCCTGAAGAGTTCCGTCTCGTCCAGCTGCCTCATTTTTTACGGATACCAAGGCTAATGGCTTTTAGAAAGGGCCCTGAAATATGATTTTTAAGTTTTTGGTGTATTCCTAAATGATCTCTGCTAGCCTGCCTTTCCTAAAGAAGCTCCGCTAGCCTCGGTTTCCTAAAGAATCTCTGCCAGATTGCCGAGATTTTTTAGGCCTTGTGCAGCGTCCAAATATAGCACTTCCTGGCCCTCCCGCTCCCCTCTGCCCTCCCAAAAATAACTCGACCCCAATTTTCGGCTCAGAAAAAGTGACAAGCCCTGCTGCAGGCGCTCTTGGGCCACCTTTTTAAGCTGGTTTTTCTCCAGGATTTGCTTTAAGAATAGTTTTTATAGTTTATGACCTGAAAATTCACAATTTTTTACTTGTCTTTACTATCCCTTTAAAGCTTCCGGAAAAGTCTGAAAAGTCGATTCTGCGCCTCCAGTTCCGACCACTGGTCATCGGTCCCTTTTTATTGGGCGTTCCGTCTATCCATACTTTATTAATTTGAGCTCGTTCTCATTCTCTCTCTCTCTCTCTCTCTCTCTCTCTCTCTCTCTCTCTGTCTCTCACTCACTGTCTCTCTCTTTCTCTCTCCCTGACCTATGAAAGAAAGATTTTTGGGTGTAGCGTTGGCGACATTTTTGATCGAAAAAGGTTGCTTACTCACCGCTGGGAGCGCAGCTGGCGGATTTTTGGCTGGTCTTTCCATTTCTCCTTTTTTGCCATGGTTTTATGTATATTTTTGTATTTTCAAAATATAATTTTAATCCCCTTTTTGCAGATAGCATGAGATGAGCGCCCAGCCACCGTCTCTGCTCGAATGCTCCGAGTGCGGTGTGGAGGTACTGTATTTTTGTGCATTTTAGGGAGGGGCAGGTCAGCAGAGATTCTTTAGGAAAGGGCAGGCTAGCAGAGATTTTTTAGGAAAGGGCAGACTAGCAGAGATTCTTTAGGAAAGGGCAGGCTAGCAGATATTCTTTAGGAAATGGGCAGGCTAGCAGAGATTCTTTAGGAAAGGGCAGACTAGCAGAGATTCTTGAGGAAAGGGCAGGCTAGCGCGATCATTTAGGAAATTTTCTATTCAATTTAATTTTTCCAGGTCCGCGACCCGTGCCCCTCGTCCGATCAAGTGGAGCTGTGGTGGTGCCGCGACTGTCTGGTGGCCATTTGCAAGTTGGTTTTTTTTTTATTTTGTTTTTGTTTTGACGTTTTTAATTGTTAAAAATATCCTAAACACATTTATTAGCACCATTAAATGCCTATACAAAAAAATACAAAGATTACAAAAATACACAAAGAAAAGCAAAAAAATGTCCAAAAATGCACATTAAAATTAGAATATCAGGGCCCGTATCACGCATCGATCGCAAGTGAGAGAGAGCGAGAGAAAGAGAGAAAGAGAGAGAGCGAGAGAGATAGTGAGAGAGAGAGAGAGAGAGAGAGAGAGAGAGAGAGAGGGAGACAGACGGAGAAAGAGAAAGATATGGTACTTTTTCTTTCCTTTTTTATCCATTCGTCGTGGCATTTGCCGTCAAATACGTGCAAATCGCCCAGTAGCAAGCCATAAATCCGAGAAATCCAACCGGGACCCAGAAGCGACAGTAGTAGTCGATTTTTGCCGGAAAGTAGTCGGGTTTCGTGAACCATTTGCGGATGCGGGCGCGTAGAGGTTGAGGCTCCGAGTCGGCGATCTAAAAAGGCAACTAATTTGTATTTTTTTTTGGGTTTTAAAGGGGCGCAGAAGGCAGCGAATTTCCACCTAAAGCCAGGCATCTAGAAGCGCTAAATTGGCATGTCTAAAACCAAGAATTGCTGATTTTGACTTTTAAAACACTACAGTATGACAGGCGTCCTAAAACCACAAAATTTGGACATTTTAAGGGGGCGCACAGTAGCGGCGAATTTTTCAATTAGCAAACTGCGCTTCGCAATCCAATAAATTCGCATTTTAAAACATTTTCAGGGACCACTGAAGCCAATCCTAGCCACTTTTCATGCAAGCCAATCGGGGTATAAGCGCTACAGTATCCATTTTTCGTATTGTATTTTTTGTTACCATTCCGCTGTCCCGGACGGTCCACACACGATATTCGTATAGTCGGGGGAGCTTGGAAAAATCAGTTGTTCCTTATTTGTATTTTTCTAGGTTTTGGATTACGCTAGCTGGTTCCGTCCCTTTATACACCCGAATTCCGCAACTTACCAAATGACAGGTGCACGGGGGTTGGTAGCCCGGGTTTTCGATCTCGCGGCCTCGTTTTTGGTTCTTACGGATGGCCTGGATGCGCTTGCGCTCAGCCTAAAAAGTGGCAAACTAGCCGAGATTGATAGGAAAGGGCAGGCTGGCAGAGGTTCTTTAGGAAAGGGCAAGCTAGCAGAGATTCGTTAGGAAAGGGCAGGCTAGCAGAGATTCTTTAGGAAAGGGCAAGCTAGCAGAGATTCTTTGGAAAGGGCAGGCTAGCAGAGATTCTTTAGGAAAGGTCAAGCTAGCAGAGATGCGTTAGGAAAGGGCAGGCTAGCAGAGATTCTTTAGGAAAGGGCAAGCTAGCAGAGATTCGTTAGGAAAGGGCAGGCTAGCAGAGATTCTTTAGGAAAGGGCAAGCTAGCAGAGATTCGTTAGGAAAGGGCAGGCTAGCAGTGATTCTTTAGGAAAGGGCAGGCTAGCAGAGATTCTTTGGAAAGGGCAGGCTAGCAGAGATTCTTTACCCACTTGTCTGCTGCTATCCTGATACGACACGACTGCGTACTCCATTAATGCGCCGAACACGAACATTTGGCAAGCTAAAAAAGTATATTTGTGTAATTATAATTAGCAGTAAAATTTTGTTTGTTATTCAGTTTTTGAGTTTAGGGTTTTTGATGCTTTTTAACCCACCTCCAAGCCACGCATCGACCAGCTTTACATAGGATACCGGCGGCAGCTTTGCATTAATGGCGGATTGCTAAAAATAATTTTTTCGGGTTTTCCTCAAGAATCTCTGCTAGCTTGCCCATTTCCAAAGGATCACTGCTAACCTCCCGATTTCCTCAAGAATCGCTGCTAGCCTGCCCTTTCTGCTGTAATTCTCACCATCGTCGTCATGGTCAGTAGCGTAGTGACGCCCAGTGCCACCCGACCTGCCGTAGAATGCATATCGATCCAAAATGAGACCCAAGACACGGCGACGATCATCGACGTTGGGAAGTACAGTTGTAGAAAGTAGTAACTAAGGGGAATTCGGACTGAAAATTACAAAAAACATACCTGAACTGTCGTTTAAGTCGTAGCTCCATGCGTAGACAGGCGTAAGAGCCTAAAATTGATGATTTTTCTTCAAATTCCTCAAGAATCTCTGCTAGCTTGCCTTCGCAAAGACAATTTAGAAGTGGTCTCTGCTAGCTCGGGCTGGCGCAGTTTCCCTAATGGTTTATGCTAGCTGCCATGGGCCTGTTAATACTCAAGAATCACTGCTAGCCTGCCTCGCGATCGCAATTTCCCCAGGAATTTTTGCTAGTTTGCCTTCCAACCTAAAGGATCTTTGCTAGCCTGCCCTGAAGGCTTTTGCTAACGTTTCCTGCTAGCTGCTCTGATGGCTCTAGCGGTTTCTGTGAGGCTGCCTTTTCCTCAAGAATCTCTGCTAGCCTGCCCGACCCACCAGTATTCGTATGGCTTGTGCAATCGTTGTTGATATTGATCGGGTCCATTAGCATAAAATTCGGCAGATCATCTCCAACGCCCGGCTTTTTCTGGACGGGCTGCGGGACGCGCTTGTCCCATTCGTAGTCGATATCCTGAATTTTTGTATATTTTTAGTATTTTTCGTAAAGAATCTCTGCTAGCTTTCCATTTTCCTAACGAATCTTTGCTACTCTGCCCTGAATTGAACTGACCTTTGTCGTGTGCGCGTAGCTGATCAAGTCAAAATTGCACTGCTGCGTGTCGAGGGGGTACAATTGAAGATTCATGCTGCATGACAGCGTCAGGGACAAGCGCACGCTGTATAGAATCTGAAATCATTGATCATCTTTGTCTTTTGTTTGCTGTCACTGTCCCTTTATAGAGAGAGAGAGAGAGAGAGAGAGAGAGAGAGATAGAGTGAGAGAGAAAGGGAGAGAGCGAGAGAGAGGGAGAGAGAGAGAGCAGTGATGGAGGCTTTCAAAATTCTGCTGTCACTGTCCCTTCAAAATTTTTAACTTTTATGGCGACGAAATCTAGCTGTCTCAACCCCTTTAATACGCGACTTACCGTCCCGTCTGCATGAATTCGTAGAAACATATTTTCGGTGTCGATCAGATGGCGATGAGCGGCTTTTTCAGTCTAAAAATTGCTCGATTAGCCGCTCGATTTTCACATTTTATAGGTCGCTAGAACTACCGTAACCCCTTATAAAGGCCCACCGGAAAGAAGCTGTCCGGAATCCACAAATTGTCCTTGACGTGGGGTACTGTAAGGAATTTGGGGGCATTCTGGTAGCCGAGATGCGCGTAGGCCAGCCGACGATCCATCCACTCCTCGCGGAACGTGATTTGCATACTGTATTCCTGGAACGGGGATGGTTTCGTAGTGGCTAGCTAGCGGCGATTCTTTGGGAATTTTTAGAGTTTGCAATTAAGCCAGTTTTTAAGTTTTAGGTAGCAATGATTCCTTGAAAATTTGCTTGTTTTTGGAGGTTTATCGTTTTTCTGGCGAACCAGCAAAGATTCTTGAGGAATTTCAAATTTTTTTGTTGGTACGGTATTTCTGTAATTTAGCGTATTTTCGAGAGGTAATCGAGCAGTGTTTCTTGGGGAGTTTAACGCACTTTTGAATTGGCTACTGTATTCCTGTCCAGTGGTGTATTTTGTACTGGTAAGCTAGCAGTGATCCTTTAGGAATCCCGCAAAAATCTGCTTACCATATTGACGACGTCAATCTTGGACAGCATCCGGATCAGGATATTCACTCGGACTACCACTGGGCCATTTGGGTCTGAAATTTTGGTTTTAAAGGGAGGGTTACACCAATTTTAAGTTGTTTTTAAGTTTTGTTGTTTTAAGTTGTATTTTAATCCTCGCCATCGCATTTGTTTGCTTGTTTTGCTTACACATTGTAAAGTCTTTTTTGCTGTTCTCCTGATTTTTACGATAGAAGCGCGCTACCCTGGCTCTTTAAAGGGACTAGGAAGCGTTAAAATCAACCCTTCCGGGTGGTTAGGTGTTGACAACACTTTCTCACGTATTTTTTCGGGTGTGTTTATTTTTCAGAACGGGCTTTCCAGTCATTTTTAAGGGACCAGGAAATGCTGAAATCGACCCCTCCAGCCGGCTAGGTCTCGACAACATTTTCTAACGCCTTTTTACTCTTTTATTTTTTTAGCAGCGGGCTTTCCGGTCTCTTTAACGGGATTAGGAAGCGTTAAAATCGACGCCTCCGGGTGGTTAGGTGTTGACAACACTTTCTACCGCCCCGTTTTGCTTGTCATCTGGTTTTTTGAAGCGCGCTTCCGTGTTCCTTTAAAGGGAACAGGAATCGCTGAAATCGACCCTCAAACCTGCTAGGTGTCGACAACCGGTTATCACGCTTTTTGTGCCTTTTCTCTACTTGAGAAGCCGGTTTCCGGTCTCGTTAAAGGCACCAGAAAGCGCTAAAATCGACCCCTCCAACCGGCTAGGTGTCGACAAAATTTTTTTGCGCTTTTCCCCATTTTGGAATGAGAAACGGGCTTTCCGGCTTTTCCGGTTCTAGCGCCTTTTTTTTGGTTTTTACTCCCCGCAAATTGGCGTTCCCCTCAAGGGGCTCACCTGACGCATTGGTGGGCGGTGGGCGGACACGCATATCATAGTTGGCCAATAAATTATTGAGGATCAGCTGCTCTTGGATGCCGGCAGATTGGCCCTGGCTGAGGGCCAAAGGGACCCACGCAATGACCAATAGGACTAGAGAGGGCCCAGAATGGGACATCCTGAAAAATTGTGCGTTTAAAAACTAGGACTTAAATAGAGAAAACTCGATAACAAGACTAGGAGAAGAACAATAATAGAAATTAAAGGGATTGCGACAGTTCCTTGCTAAATGATCTTTGCTACCTGCCCTTTCCTCAAGAATCGCTGCTAGCCTGCCCCTTCCTAAAGAATCTCTGCTAGCCTGCCCTTTTCTAAAGAATCTCTGCTAGCCTCCCCAGTTCCTAAAGCATCTCTGCTAGCCTGCCTATTCCTAAAGAATCTCTGCTAGCCTGCCCTTTCCTCAAGAATCTCTGCTAGCCTGCCCTTTCCTAAAGAACCGCTGCTAGCCTGCCCCTTAAAATTTAGCGCAAGAAAAGCATTGAACTCAGAAAGCCACTCCCTAAAAAAATATTCAGCTTCCTAAAAAACGGATGGGCCCCGTGCGAGAAATCCCTAATTCCGTGTGCCGCATAGCCCGCCGCACGAAAGTTGATTTCCCACCGGGACCCACCAGATTAAAGGAGGACGAAAAAAGGCGAAATTTATTTTGTGAACCAAAGAAAAGCCTTTCTTGGCAATGGGCCAAAGTTCGAAAACAAATTTTTGGGCTTTGGTAGGCTAGCAGAGATTCTTTAGGAAAGGGCAGGCTAGCAGAGATTCTTTAGGAAAGGGCAGGCTAGCAGAGATTCTTTAGGAAAGGGCAGGCTAGCAGAGATTCTTTAGGAAAGGGCAGGCTAGCAGAGATTCTTTAGGAAAGGGCAGGCTAGCAGAGATTCTTTAGGAAAGGGCAGGCTAGCAGAGATTCTTTAGGAAAGGGCAGCCTAGCAGAGATTCTTTAGGAAATGGGGAGGCGAGCAGAGATTCCTTTAGGATTTTTTAGATCACATAGAACCTGGGGAATTTTTGGAACTTTTCTTCTTTTCTGCAGGGGTAAACAAAAAATTAATGAGCCATTTGATAAGATAAGCCTGAAAACAAGAGGTTTTTCAAGCTAGAGAGAAACCTTATTAGATCCAGAATATTCGGCGATTTTGCTCGGCAAATAACCCATCCTCGGGCTATGTAAATAGTAGCAAAAAGGAGCAAGAAGCTGTAAATAAGCAGAAAAATACATAGAAAAATAGTAGTACGGAACGATACTACGAATCCATAAGCCAAATCTGGCTTTTAATCGTAGTTTTTCGGGCTTGTCAATTGGAGCTTAACGACCTGACCCTTTGAGCCCTCCAGGGTATTTTAAAGCACCGGAAATGGGCCATAAGCGGGCGTTCCGAAATGCTCTCTGCTAGTTTGCCTCTGCCTGGGCTTCAAGTTCTTTCCCCAATGATCCCTGCTAGCTTGCCCCGAAAGTCCGTTTTTCCCAAATGTTCGCTGCTAGCCTGCCCTCTGATCTAATTTAAGCAACTTTTTAGGATTTACGTAATAAATAGAAACTAATTTATTTAGAAAAGTAGTTCTAACTCAAGGGGGCGGCTATCAGAGACTCTTTAGGAAAGGGCAGGCTAGCAGAGATTCTTTAGGAAAGGGCAGGCTAGCAGAGATTCTTTAGGAAAGGGCAGGCTAGCAGAGATTCTTTAGGAAAGGGCAGGCTAGCAGAGATTCTTTAGGAAAGGGCAGGCTAGCAGAGATTCTTTAGGAAAGGGCAGGCTAGCAGAGATTCTTTAGGAAAGGGCAGGCTAGCAGAGATTCTTTAGGAAAGGGCATGCTATTTTCATAAAAACAGACATGTTTCGTAACGTTAAAGGGCTGCCGACGGCATGTGTCGATCCCCCCCCCATCAACAAATTGGCAAGTAGCCAACAGGGCAGAGAGCGCGCCCAGGGGGAGGCGCAGAGACATTTTCTTTCCCGCGCGTAATCGATTGCATTATGCCGCCCCTATCCCTTTAATTTGGGATGTTAAAATTAATCAAAATGAGAAAAACCCAGTAAGTAACCGGGTCCTCGCGAACCCGCCGGATGGATATCTGCCTTCTGTTTGTTTGTGTGTCTGTCTGTCGGTCTGTCCGTTAGGTATATCCATTCTCTCCCCCCTTACCCCTCATCACATTTTCTCAATCCTTAATCCCTCCCCTTAGCGCCGTCTTCTCCCTTTTGTTTGCCCACCGCTCTCACCGTCCACCTCAGCCCAAATACACGGCTATGGCAGATATGTTACCTAACACACACCCACTCACACTCACATTTTAAAGGGATGGTGACAGGAAGCGTTAAAAAGAGGGAGAAAGAGCTCCTAAAGGATTTCTGCTAGCATGCCATTTCCTAAAGAATCTCTGCTAGCCTGCCATCTTAAAGGGAAGGTGACTGGAGGAATCTGACACAATTTTCAAATGAGGGTCCTTTCGCATTATCGGGGGCAACTTTTTTCCTAGGATCTAATTTTTCAAATATAAATAGCGGAACTGTCTAAGCTGTTTTTTACTATTTTCCAGAACGTGAAAAATTTACAAATTTGTTTTAACAATATCAAAAATATCGGTTTTTCGACGGAAAACCGGATTTTTTACCAAGATTTCGACATTTTAAAAGTTTTTAGATAGTTTTGCTAGTTTAAATATAGTATTTATATGAATAAAAACACAATGAAAACACTTTCTATAAATTTACTAGGCATTGGACTTATACAAAAGTTCAATCCCCCGATAATGCGACAGAAGTTTACGACAGGCCCATGAACCCAGAGCTTGATCGTGCTACCCTTAAAGGGATAACACGCAAAACAGTGCTCAAAATTTCGACAAAATATCCAAAAAAGGCAGCTGGAAAATTAGCTCAAAAAATTCTAGAAAAGACAGTATTCTCACTAGAATTCGACAACTACTGTAGCTGTGCGACTCTGACTCTGGATTGGGGTTATTTAAAGTCTGGCGACCTTTTCTTCCAGCTTTGAGAACGATGGATGTACCACATGCCGGTGGGGCGCTTCTTTAGGACACCCTTTAGAAAGTGGTCAAAAGAGAGCAATAGAAAGAAAGAGAGAAATGTGGATGATGATGAATGGAGAATCAGTCATAGATGGACAAATAACCAGAACGAACCAAAGAGAGAGAGAGAGAGAGAGAGGAGAGAGAGAGAGAGAGAGAGAGAGAGAGCAGGCTAGCAGAGTTCCTTAGCCAACCGAGAAGAATACAGAATGCCAGCTGGCCGAGGTATTTTGGGAAACGGGCTAGAGAGAATGCAGAGAGAATGAGAGAGAAATGGAGTGAGAGCGAGATATAGAGAGAGAGACAGAGAGAACGATAATTAAACATAGATAGATTACCAAAATAGAAAATAGTTAGTGTTGAGGCCTTTTTAAAATCTGCCATCTCCTTTCGGGAATCGGAGCGGCTTGGGAATTTTTGAAATGGGACCCGGAACTCCCAGTGGATGGCCGGCAGGCAGGGGAATTAAAGCCGGGAATTATTTGATGCAGAAGAACGCAAATAGGCTAATTAAAAAATAAAATCTAAATTTTAACAAGATACAGTTACATCACAAGAAATACAGTATTTATAAGGCCGACCTACGGACCTCGTTAGCCGTCACA